AGCCGTCCCCTCGCCTTTCGGGCGGCATGCTCCCCCCGTGCTGGCAGCAGAGCTCAATCCATGGCAACTCCTGTGCCCAAACGATGGGTTCCGGCGCCGCAGCGGCGCGAGGGTCGAAACGTGCTCCTCAAGCACGGGGCAGTGAAATGGCCTACGTCATTTCTGGAACGAAGGGGAGAAAAGAGGAGCAAGCTGCACTGAAACACCAACCCCCCTCAGACAAGCAGAGAGGGGCAGAAGCTGGCAGGCTGCACGGGTTTCCTGCAGTGAACCTACAACCAGGAGAGGAGCTCAGGGGAAAGCCACAGCAAGAAGGATCGGCCTGTCTGGGGGCAGGAACGGGGGGGATGCACAGCACCTCCACACATGCCCCATCTTGATGGAGGAGGGGGTCACCCGAGGCCTCTCTGCAGGTAGCCAGGCTGGGGAGGCTTCTGAAAGAGGCAATCCAGCCTGGAAGCTGAATGATCTTGCCCTCTGGCAGAGCCTGGGTGGCTCTCTCTCCATTCGCTTACCCAGGAAGCCTGGGGCCAAATGCAAAAGGCCTAAATATTGTGTGATAAAAAGGTACTTGTGCTTTGTTTTGTCTGTATACAAAAAAAAAAAAGGATGCTCAGAAGAAAACCATTGTTGTTGTTTAGGCAATCCATACAAATATTCTGTTACATCTGGCAAACAGAGTGGTTGCAAGTACGGAAGTGCAGAGTTAGCTGACAATTTAATGTAATTTGGTTTTGTTTGCCTTATAGGCTCTCTGTATGTTGTTACAAATTATTTTATTTTACTTCATAAAGCAGAATATTTGAAATGCCTTTCTGCAGAGTAAGTTCTGTAAATAGTACAAGAGGCTGATCTGGAAGACAAACAAGCACATCTGAAATGGGCATTTGAAGATGAGTGAAGCAAACTTGAAATAAAAGCAGCCTGGCCCTTAAAGCCATAAAGGATACATGACCTATCTTAACAAATAAGCTGGTGAGAAAAACACCAGCCAAAAATCCCTATATATACCTCCAACTCCAAATAACTTGGACTAGAAGAAGTTCAGCCTCTGTCATTACCTGGTTAAAAGGAAATAAAATGAAAAGTCTGCAGGCCACAGGAGCTGCCAGTGTGCTTCTGCTGCTGCCCATAAACACCTTCCACAGACCCTGAGACAACAGCTGAGGAATGGGCAAGTGCCATCAGCCTTGGGACTTCTCCAGAGACTGGTCTTGGAAAATTCACACTCATGGAGAGGGCACTGATTCTCCATTAAATGTTCAACCTCATTTATTTTCTCTGGAATGGATATAAAGCAGTCACTCTTACTGTCAATAAAAAGGGAAAATGCTTTCTATCGCATCCTGTAGTTAGAAAGCCTACTGAAATCTGCTCAAGGCTGACCACTTTTTTTTCCATGAGTCCTTCTTTATTTGTAGCTTTTCTTCTAAGAACATTCAGCTTGAGGAAGGACACAAAACAGGGCTCTTGCCTTTCACCGTTTATTGTACACCTTGAGATATATGTGTAGGTTCTACTCAATGCCTGCCCAAGGACAGCTTGTTACCAAGCCTTACAGACAGAGAAATTAAAGCAACATAACTAGATTGGATAGAGAGGTGCACAATCATTTCACATGAAACATGTAGAGAAAATGATTTATTTGCATACAGGGGCAGACCACCCCATTGCAATTGCATTCAGACCAAGTTACACTGACAACACCACACCTTCACTGGCATAGTAATAACTGAATCAAGGCCATAGGAAGATTAAGTCTGATTAAATTGTATTATGTGCCAAAAGGTCACCATATTTCTTCATTCTTCCCTATAACATGAGACGAGATAAGAACATCTTGAATTTGCCAATTCTGTAAAATTCATGTTGTCAGTTTTTATGCCTTTCTCAAGAATTTTCTGAGCTGCTCTTTAACTTCACTCTGTGAGCACATGGCCACGTTAGGTGACATGAAAAACATTTCAAGGCATCATGGTAGGAGAGAAAAAGTTTAAATATGCAAGCTGAATGTATTCCAAATACCTACAGGGAAGAACAGAGGTTTTAACTATCAGACCATTTAAGCCAAACTCATGATTTTGTGATTCTTGTGCACGATGGCATCTTAAAATCCAACAAAACCATTGTTACACTTACCAGGCCCCTGTGAAAACAGGTGGGAGTCATTGACTGAACTCATCTGAGGTGTCACAGAGTATCCAAGACACCTGCTTGGGGCTGGCAGACTGAAGATATCCATGCAGACATGTGCTCCTCCCTAGCAGCAGCGTTAGGCCAAGCGGGTCCCCTGCAGTGTCTGAAATGACACTTGACAGCCACAGAGAGAAAGCTGGATCCCACCCTAACAGCTTTCCAAGTGTGAAAAACTTCCTTGCTTGCAGTCCTGAGCTGTGCTGTCACCTACCAACTTTATCATGTCTGAATATGCTCCGCTGGCGTTCAGCGTGGTGCCTACAACCATAAAACAAGGACATAAGAGCATTTTCTCCCTCTGCTCCTCCATGAAAAGGAGAGGCGTTCGTGACAAATGGGAATACTGGTCTCAGGTTTAGTGCAGGCACACACCTGCGTGACCATCCCTGAGGGCTGCTCCTGCAAGGTGAACCTCACACTGTTGTGGCCAGCCTCATCACTACCACGTCCTGGCACCCATCTGGTCTGGTGACCCTCTGAGGAACACCCACCACGCGGGCTACACCCCTACTGTCTTCTGCCCATTAGACGAAGGAAGACGCTCACCAGACTTTGTTTTCCTTCAAAGTAGTATCCAAATCCAGCTCTTTGAAGATGAGAGGAGCAGGGCGTCTTTCCTGTACTGATTTTCCTAAATCATAAAGCCAGGTGTATTTTCCTCACTCTGCAAGAAGCTTTGGTGGAAATAATGCAACTGCAACACAACATTGCATAAGCAGCTCACACCAGTATCTTCCTTTGGCATTTCTTAGTGTTTTTTTATTCTCCTGCTGCAGCAAAAAGTATTTTCATGTAATGAAATATGCAATTCATTTTCTACAGTTCCTATGGTTTCTGTAATTACAGAATTAGAAGAATAAGAATTTAGAAAACATTTCTGTGATTTATTAATTTCCAGATAATGTAACTATATATTCTATACCTACTACTATTTGCTCAAATACACTACATACCTACACAGATGTAAAGCAACAGTCACTGCTTTAATACAACACCCAAGATGGTATTCCATACACACACACACACACTCCAGCAATAAAAATCATCTTGATCCATGCAAAAAGCCTCCAGAATTGTCAGCTATGTGACATTAAAAAGGCAGGTTACTCAACAAAAGGCTTGGCTAGAGAAACGATTGCAGGCATAAAGAGCATGGTATGCATATGATCAAATGTCAAGGAAGGTTTTCAGCAATTCCAGGCAAGGCATTTTTTTGGGCCCCATGAATTCATGCAATAAATGTCACTAGCAGAAGACTCAATGCCCACACCATCAAGCAGCCTTGCCCACAAGTCCTTTTTCCATCATCACCCACAACACAGAAATGCTGGGTTGTTCCTAGGCTCTCTTCTGGAACAGCTCTTCCTGAAAAAAAAGCAGCTACTGTTTCAGTAACTTGCTCAATAGACACTCCCAAAATGCAGTGCAGACAAGGCTGAACCACTTCTGGCTTCCTTTGTTGTATACAAACATGCAAAGCCAGCCCAGCAGGCTCTGACCCCTCAAATGTCATATTCTCTTCTGTTTCACTCTATTATTCCAGTGGGCTGCAAACCCCCCAGCCCGCAGATTACTTAAGACTTTCAAACTGAAGACCAAGCAAAACACAGTGAAAATAATAACGATGCCTTATGGTCATAGCTACACCGTGTGGGGCCAGAAGAGACACCCAGCCAAACGCTGTGAGTGTGGACCTGGCCAGTCTGCTCTAGAGAAGGCAGACGTTGAGCAACTGATGCTGCTGCAGTGCCTGGCCTGGGGCAGGGGCTGCTCCCTGCAGGGGGGAAGCCTTTGGCACCAAAGCTGTGGCCACCGGCTGTCCATGAGGACGTGGGGCGGAGGTGATACCAAAGGCTTCCAAAGCCTCTTCTCTAGAAGTTCCTTGCTTTGTTTTGGAAACACGGACATTACCTGAAAGGGGTATGAGCCACACACAGAGGAGGACAAAGCTTGCTGGCTCAGTGTGGATCCTGAAAGCTCATGGCTCCCACAAGCGCTTCTCCACTGCCAAAAAAAGTGCCAAAGTTGACAAGAAACAATGCAGCTTTCAGACAAGAAAATCAACATGTCCTGACCCTTCTTTGCATCTGACAACTGTCCAGGGTGGGGTTTTTCACATACAAAAGGGCGAACAGACAGGCTTCCTGCTCCTAAATCATCAGGAGTTGACTGTGAATAGTTTCCCGCTTCTGCTCTGCAATGCCCTTGCAGCCCCTTCATGCCCCAGTCCTTCTCCATCCCTGCAAGGCACCCCTGCATCTCCTCTCCATCCCACAAGCTTGTTCTCAGCAGGCTTCTGGCTCAGTACGTTTGTGATGCATCCAAACTGACTGGTTGACCTGGTGGTTTTCCACATCACTTGTGACCTCAGTCTCCTTTCAGACCATCCCCATACTGATGAAATGTGTACAGCTTTATGACACAAACTCTTCTTGATTCCGCAGGAATCTGATTTCCTCACTTTAAAGTATTTAAAGCAAATAGATCAGAGAAGATGGTGTGAAGAAACCATGCAGCTGTACACCAGAGGTTCTAATCCCTTCTGTTGTCACTAGCTTGCCGTGTGATCTCTGCCCTTGGGCATCCAACTCCTCTGCTATGCTGCTCTCCCTCTGCCCTGTGCACTGAAGGATTTGTTACTTAAACATGCAATTAAGGAAAAAAATTAAATAAACCAGAACAGAATAACATAAACTTTTTATCTTTTGATAAAAAAGATAAAACTTTCTTTCTGATTCTTTTTGTTAGCCCAGGCCCCCCTTCCCAGAGCCGTGCCACGAGAAAGCATCACCCCGACTCCACTCTCCTTTTAAAATGCTTCCTTTTATTTCAGTGGTTGTACATTGGGTGAATGGATTTAACGTCACAACAGAAATAGAATGGCTATTTAACAGACCACTAGTAGTTATATGCTGGAAAAGAGTGAATGGAGGGGTTTCTTTTAACTGTTGCCAAAATATTCATCGTACGTGTCGTCAATTATGCTGGATGAGAGAGGCAAACAAAAAGGTATTTTTGGTGAAGTGCTGTATCCTTTGAAGAAAATAAACACTGAGACATCTCAGGTCACTTGAAACTGTGTCCCAGCTACAGTATTCACAGTCTCTGTGTTGGCCCATCTCATGGTTCTTTTAGGGGGGTTTATTTGTTGGTGTTTTTTTTTTTATTTTTTTAATTAAACAAAGCATTTAAGATTTAATAATTTTCATTAGACTTTTTTTTTTTTTAAATATAAACAAAGTTTTGGCAAATAATATTTATACAGAAAAATAGTTTTAGATCTTCCCAAATTTTGAAATAGTCTATAAAATTACTTTATAAATAAATAAAATGCAGAATCTGTTGTACACGTATTTGCACATCTCTGTAATTGCCTCCTTACTGTTAGCGTAGGTTTGTACTTGTACAGTTTTCAGGAATATTACAAAGTCATAAAGTCGGAAAGTGGATCTCTTATTAAAAATACATTTTCTCTTTTTGTCTGTCAGTTTATCTGGATGAAAGACCTGATGTATCTGAAGCTTCATCATCCATGGGCAAAAAATAGTAGTATTGGATTAATTGTAAAAAACATAGAATAACAGTTATTTCGAAACATAAAAAGTCCACACAAAACAATGTCTTGGAGAGTTATCTACATAAAATATTTAAACAACATGGATAATTTACCATTTAGTATTATACAATAAGCTACCCAAATGCCTAAATTAACTATTATAAAAAAATAAAAACAACTTTGACAGATATAGGCAAGTTGCAGTGTCAACTACCTAGTTATAATGACTGAGAAAGTCTACAAATATTAGTGTTTTAATAGTATATAATGGTGATACCTTAACTGCTAAAGAAACAAGTTAAGATACGTTATTTTCCCACAAATTAAAGCTAACGCAACGTTACAAGCACTATGTTAATTTTACAATCGAATCGTGATTATTTTCTTTTCTTTTGGATGATCAAATCTCCAGCTTTATATATAGATAGTAATTAGACATCGGACAAACAAGATTTAGCCTGGAAAATAATTTCCTAGACAAATAATTATATGATTAGTGCCTTCAGTCGTTCAGAACAGGCAGTGCTGCCAGAGTTTAAAATAGTTTACAATCAATCTGAAGAGGTTAAGTTAAAATACTGCAATCACTAATAATGTCCACATAGAAAACTTATGCTGCAAACAATTATACATAATATCCATTTATAACAGTTGTCCTGTTTTTTTAAACAATAATTTAAAAACTATGTCATTTATGTGATACATGTGCAACATATAAAATGTGAAATATGAAATATTTGGTACAATAGTGCTTGAAACAAATCTCAAATCAAACAAATGAATTTTTTAATTATACATATATAATTACCTTGTAAATCAACAAAGTATTTAAAAAAGTAAACATTAAAATCTGCTTCATCCATATATATGTATGTATGTATATATAACATGTATATAATTGTATTAAAGATATCTTCATACTTTTGTGACATAAAATATGTTTTTAAAGAAAAACAATTAAAAGAACTATTATTTTTCTCCACTCTAATCTGGTTAAAATCTTATAATCCAATTTAAAAAAAAATGCAAATAAAGTAATGATTTATTAAACTGAATCTCATTCTACATTCTTAGTGTTCAGTTAATAGTCTAGATTAAAGTCACCTATGAAGTTTCGGTGACTCAACTGAATTTTAATTAAATTAGAGTATCATACAAATCCTTTCATCTACAGCCTTCTTTTTGCCTTTTGTTAGTTTGGTCTTTTGTTTGTTTGTTTGTCTGATTTTACACCTCTAGAAGTTACTTCTCAACAGCTTCTATCTTTTTGGTAACCTATGAGTCTGAAAGAATATTCGCTTCCGGTGAGATTTGACTGTTGGCATCAGGCTCACTTTCATCAAGTCTGATGTGACAAAATTTAGGCACTTCTGCAAAGTCTCTTTTAAAAACATTATAAATATACTTGCAAAATAATATTTTCAAGACTTTGTTCTGGTGGGGATTGAAAGGGGTACGAAGTTCATACTGTGCAAAATTTTTTTTTCATTTTCTTCTGCTATTCTGCTATGATTCAAATGCAACTTCTCCATACAAGTCAAACACCAACCATGTGCATCTAAAAAATTTGTGCTTTACTTTGGACTTCTGGCTAAAAATATTCAGATTGGCAGGGTGATGTGCAGGACACTGGGCTGCATTTCACTTCCTCTGTCTTGGAATCGACTCGCTAGGGGAGCAAAACCAAGATTATCTTTTTTTTTAACGGAGAAGAAAATCCCCAATCATAGTTTGGGCGAAAATTAAATCTGCAACTGGGCTAGGTTTTTAGCCAATACAACTTGATTATTGCTGAGCTCGAAAGATTCACAGAGGCTGAATCTCACGAGGCTAACTTAACTGGACCGTTTCCCTTAGGTATAGTTATGGAGAAAAGACAAAATTTGCAAGAATTAAACTATGTTTAGAAAAATCCTTAAAACTAAATGTTACCCTTTATGTCTTGAAACATCACAGCTGGTATCAGGTAATTAACTATTTTAGGTTGGAGTATAGTAAGCATACCATATTTAATATTCATATATGACATAGCAGCACTAGCTTTTTCGAGTTTGTGATTTGTCCAAAAGAACAAATTCTTGACTTAGCATGCAGTTTGTGGCAACTCTAGAGAGGAGGAGACGGGGTAGTATGTCCAGTAGCCGTGCTTGGCCGTCCGCAGGGAGGCTTCGTGGCACTCCGTCCCGCTCCTGCCGGCTATTTCAGGATTATCTGCCAAGAGAAAGGAGAGCGTGATCGCGCTTTTAGGTGGCGCAGGGAGCGGGGCACCCGGGCGGCCGGCGCTGGCCCAGCTGAGCTCAGGTTCGGGGCAGCACCCCGAATCCTCACGCCGCCCGCGAGCGGCCCGTGCTTCGCAAACCCGGTCGTCCTCCTCCCCTACGCACGTCCTCGCTCCCGGGGGGACGTGCCGAGGGGGGATTTTAGGTGTCCAAGCAGCGGAGGTGGTGCCCAAGGCACAAAGGGAGGGTCTGGCTGTGGGTGGGGTGTGTGCCCTCAGCACCCCGGCTGCCAGCGAAGGGGGAACCAGCTCCGCACTTCCCGAGGAAGCTCCAAAGTGCCCCGGTGCCTGGTGCACCCCCCGGCTCCCACCCTGCTCCTACCAAGTCCGGAACGACCAGGGGAAATAGCAGAGGCAGGGCCCCTCACCACTAACAACCAAAGAAAGTACTGGGTTGGGTGTCTTTAGGAAGCTAAAGTGTCTTTTCAATGCACTTTTAGCAGCTGCTTATTTCCTAAACAAAATACCAACATTATCTGCAGGCCAGCGAACTTGAGAGGTTTTTTCACCCTTCCTTATGTCAGGGGCTGGAGAGAGATGATCACAGCAGCACCTCTGTGCACCTCGCTAGTCACTAACCTTGCTGTACCTCCACAGCGTCTCAAACTGAGGGTGAAGCAACCATCTTACAGATGCAAACTCCTGTGCTTCCAGCACTGCGAAGGCGAGACGCCCAGCAACCGACTCAACCTGCTCACAGGATTGGGAAACATCCAGATTTCCATCACCTGCCTGGAGCGGCTGCTGGTGAAACTGGTGTCAGAAGCCAGGGGTGTGATGTTTGACCATGTCACTGCTAACCTGTGCTCCAGGCTCAAGCACACACCAGGGAATCAGAGTGCATCGCCTGCTCTTCCTGTTTGATTTGGCACCTGATATATTTTTAAGCTGTATTTGTAGGTGGTATGCAAGACACTCATGACAGCACTTTGACCTACTTGTGTATTACTAGACCGCTGCTTAATGCAATATTTATTTTGAAAGGAAAAAAAAACTCCAAACAGGTGTTTTGAAAATAACTTCAGCAACATACTACCTCTGACATACAGACTGCCAAAAAGAAACACGCTCGCCTCTGCATGGAAGATGCTTGTTCTAGTCCCCTGCCCAACCATGTTTTAAGACACCTTGCAGTCCTAACTGCCTGGCTCTCTGTACACAACTCCCAGCTCCCTGACCCCACCTGACTTGCTGGCATGCCAAAAAGTCATCTTTTGATTACCATCAGCACTGAAAATCTGGTGACACGCCAGGCCCCATTGTAACGACACTGTCCAAACACCTGCTGCTCCAAGGGGCTTAACAGCTAAATAGATCAGACATACAACAAGGACATATATTTTTAATGAACTTCCACCCATTGTGAGCTTGTTAGCTTATCGCCTATCTTCTGTTTCCTATTGAAATAACAAAGGAATACCTCTGCTGAAATAATAAAACCCTGCCTGGGATAACCCTGGTCCATCCACAGCATGGTGATGTGACAGTACGTACGAAGAACGTGGTTGTGCTGAAAATAAGAAGTGACCAAGATTATCAGCACTGATATTTTTAGTGTGTTACAACCCAACATGTCAATGTAATTAATAAATCAGCTTTAGCTATATTGAGTTAGCCATAATCACACAAGTGTATCCAAGGGATCCTAAGGTCTGATTTAATGGAACACAAGTCTACTCAGTGTAAAAAAAAAAAGAATTTCAGACACTGCAGCTGCCTACATCGTCTGCCACCTCTTGAGGGGATAAACTTGCATCTTCCTGTAGCTGTTCTCTGACTGTACAGGGAGACAGATCACTGCCCCTTATGTTGAGGTGTCCTAAAAGATCAAACAGCCCCACAAGACTGATGCTCCCAACTCCCCCAACACGTGTGACAGAAAAGGCAGAGGGCCGATTCTCAGGCTGTTTCTTGGTAAAAGGGTAGGACTGTCCCTGGCACTTTGACTAACCCAAGTGCAGCTCACCCTGCTGTGTGCCGGGCAGGATGCAGGGGTCCTGGGCAGGGTGGAAGATCACAGACCCCTTCTCTGCCCTGCTCCAGTGAGTGGCAGAGCCCAGGTAAGGACCTTCACCACCCTATTCCTATTCCTGACGTTTCTCCCCTCCTCTTGAAACTCAGGAAACAGTGAAGACAATGTAAACACTTTCCTTTTGTGAGCGAGCACGTCCTGTTTACACGGCTGCAGGTGCAGGAGGAGCAGCTGGAGCTCTCCCCACCACCCTCCCCCCCCCTTCCCCCCCTGCCAGTGGCTACGGAGCTGGCTTGCTCCCACCACATTGTCCTCGCCACACCACTGCTCGTGCAGGGGATGTAACTAGGGCATGTTGCACCCTGGCTATTTCTAGCACACGTAGGAGTCCTCCTAGGAAAAAAAGCCTCAAGTCTCTCCTTCAGAACAAGCTTCTCCAGTGCAGAGATGCTGAACTGAAGAGCTACTTTTTTTTTTTTTTAAACCCTAGCCACAAAATGTAAAACACATCCCCTAGCCTTTAATTATATGTTCACACCCTATTTCTCAAAAGATAGCACAACTCTGTCATAGCTACATACACATGCACCAGCTTTTGCAACTGTTTTTTTCACCATGTCTGACAGAGAAACATAAAATGCTAAACTGCTGTACATGGAAGACACACTGTGAACCTCTCCTGTTTTTCTACAGGTGGATTAATAAACTGATGGAAGATGGAGGCTATCTAAGTCTGCATCACTGCCAATTGCTCCATCGCTTGTATGCTGGGAAGGAGAAGCTGTAGAGAATGTACTGATGGAGGAACAGCCCTCCTAACACTTACTGCAGAGGCTGCACAAAACTGAAGGCTACACGATGGGTGTGCACTGTCCCGTGTACAGAGGTCTACAGGTCAAGCCCAGGAAAGCATTTCCTCATGCTCTGTATGGATAAGGACCACAGGTGTGGATACAGACGTGCCAGGAAACATACCTGTCGCTGGTGCTGCAGTAGGAGATCTGACAACAACACTATTTCTAGCATAAGCAGAGTGGCCTGGCACTTATGGTCTGGACTAGTAATGCACAGAAGATTGAATAACAGCAAAGGGCTTTTTTTGGAGGCAATCACAGACACGGGGTACCCTCTCCGTTGCCTTTTTGCTTGGTACCCTGCTGAAGTCTCAAAAAGCTGGCTACCATCTACACTAAAATCACTTAAAAATTGTGCCAGTTAGTTACTAGACCTCTCTGAAACTAATACGTAAGTGAACCTAAATTTCTGCAAATTACTTTCTAACTGCCAAGAAGCATTTGCTTTTCCAAATTTTCCAGCTCTTTAGAGGTGACATTTTCAGTTCCCAAATGCCAAGGCTTTCTCTTTTTTCTGTCAGAGCATGGCTCTTTTAGACCTTTACCTTCAGGATCTCTGAATGACCAGAGCGGTCATTAATCCCCTTGTGCAACACAGAACATCCTGAAATTCAGCCAGGGTTGCTCCTAGGGGTGCTACAGTTCTGCAGTGTCATCCATAGGAATGACAGCCAAAGGAGATGCCAATGGCTACAGCTTCCCAACGTACTACTAACCCATGGCATGCAGCAGACAAATCAACATCACCTTGGGACTTCCTCAGACCCAGCAAAGATGGTTGTGACTGGTTATTGTCTCAAGACTTAAAAAGTAAAATAGAGAATCTCTTTTAAGTTAAGGTGGAAATTCCACCTTTGTGAACTCTTTGCTGACACCGAGGCTACTATGTGCACTGCTTTACTTGGTACAGTCCATAGAATTAACTAAATTACCTAGAATCATGACTGGGTACTAGGAATTTGAAGAACACTGGCTTGAGATTTGCTGTTTTGAAGCCACAACTTGTGAAGCTTCTTTACTCTCTCATTGTTAAATTCTATTTCCAGTTCCAGATTTATGATACAATGATGAACACAGAAAATTTACCCTTCTGCATTGAATGCAGCGTACATGAACTCTTGTTCAACTAAAGGCCTGTCAGAGAGGATCAGCTGGAAACATGACTTTGCATCTGCCTCTGACATGTTTCTCTTCCAGAAGTTCTGAAATTATTTTTCCAAATCACGCTTTGCTCTATAAGTGGTAATACATTTTAAGGGGCATTAAGTTCATCTTTGACCTCCACACTGCAAAGCACTTATCCCTCCAAAAATGCACTTCTACATAGAGAACATTTTAGACAGCTCAGCCTTTCATTTTAAAAGCAATGTAGTAATAGGAGTTTCTTGCAGACAAAACTCATCTCAGATGAGTTCAGACACGTACGCCTCAGCTGGACACCCTATTTTACATTTTCCTAGCCTACCTCAGGCAACTTATTTTAGCATGAGACAGATTATCAACTCATGATGCTTTTTTCCACTCCACCAAATCTGAGAGTCTGAGGCGAACAGTTCACACTGAGGTATTTAACTTTTAGACACCTGTGTCAGGGCAGATGAATCCTTCCACAGTGACATTTTCTATTTTCATGTTTTTCACACAAGTATGGTCAGATATATCTAGGGTATACATTAAAAACGACAGATATTTTCAGACAGCTGGCTCATATCAGGCTGTCTCATAACTTCTCCTGCTTTCTAAAAATAAAACTAACACCAAGTATTTCTTCCCTTTGACATGAAACCCAAGACTATTTATATATCCCCATGCCTTTGGGAAATGCCTCCATCTCTTTATTCCTCATTTTCTCTTAGAATGCTCTTTTGTGGCATACACCTTGTTCTTTTTTTTCAAAATAAATCGTTCTTTTTTTTTAATCAAAAGTGGAGAAGAATGAGTAAATATTCAGATATTTACTGAAAATAATCACTATCACTATCAGTTATGCTTGGTCTTAATTTCCACATAACCATACAGATGGACTTTTTCATAGAATCATAGAACCCTTCAGGTTGGAAGAGACCTACAAGATCATCAAGTCCAACCATCAAGCCAACACTACTAA